ATCCTCCCCCCCCCAAAACGACTGCGGACCGCTTGCAATCTGCGCTCTAGTGGCCTCTCAGCACACGCCTGCCAGCACAGATAGGGACAGTGAGCCCTTCGAAGCCCGCCAGCTCCGACACTCCCCGCCGTGTTGTGGTCAGCGTCGCCTGGGTGCGACGCTGATGTGTGTATGTGGCCCAGCAACAGCAGCAGCCGCACATGCTCGCCCCTCGTCGCGCCCTCCTGTCCTTGTGCGCAGAGCACACGTAGACAATGCACGCAGCTCGGCCTTCGCCCAGCCCGAGTTGGCCCCGCAGTCTGCGCTCGATACGCTCGACAAGCAATCGGCGGTGACGAGAAAATCGCACTTTTCCCTGCCTGGAGCAGAGAGGGCGTGTTGAGGGGCGAGCAGCACAGTGGAGACCCTGAGACGTCGCGACAACAACGCCCAACACGCATCCCTCGCGCGCTCACTTTGCATGTACAATGGCTAACAATCCCGCAGACCAACATCACAATGGGTTACGAAGATTCCGTCTACCTGGCCAAGCTGGCCGAACAGGCCGAGCGCTATGAGGGTGAGTCTGCCAGCAGCAAGCTGCGACCGCCCGTGCTGACACATGTGCGCAGAGATGGTCGAGAACATGAAGGCCGTTGCCTCTGCAGACCAGGAGCTCTCCGTTGAGGAGCGAAATCTTCTGTCTGTTGCCTACAAGAACGTCATTGGTGCCCGCCGCGCGTCCTGGAGAATCGTCACCTCGATTGAGCAGAAAGAAGAGTCCAAGGGCAACGAGAACCAGGTGGCCCTGATCAAGGAGTACCGCCAAAAGATCGAGGCCGAGTTGGCTAAGATCTGCGAGGATATCCTGGAGTGCCTAGACGGCCACCTGATCCCCTCTGCTGAGAGCGGCGAGTCCAAGGTCTTCTACCACAAGATGTATGTCTTCTACCTGCTTGTTCATTCGATTCTCTCACTAAATACCCTTCTTTACACAGGAAGGGCGACTACCACCGTTACCTCGCCGAGTTTGCCGTTGGTGACAAGCGCAAGACTTCTGCCGACAAGTCCCTCGAGGCATACAAGGCCGCCACCGATGTTGCTGCCCAAAACCTCGCCCCCACCCACCCCATCCGCCTGGGTCTCGCATTGAACTTCTCCGTCTTCTACTACGAGATCCTCAACTCGCCCGACCAGGCTTGCCAGTTGGCCAAGCAGGCTTTCGATGACGCCATTGCCGGTATGTCTCGAGTGGAAGCCGTTAGCTACAATACTGACAAGATTGCAGAGCTCGATACCCTCTCCGAGGAGAGCTACAAGGACTCCACCCTCATCATGCAGCTCCTCCGTGACAACTTGGTAAATCTCCATTCTACGCAATATCAAGGACTCTTCGACTAACTCATGTAGACTCTCTGGACATCGTCTGAGAATGAGCCTTCTGCCGAGGCACCTGCTGACCCTCCCGCGACTGACGCACCCGCTGCTGAGGCTTCCGAGACTCCTGCTGAGACCAAGGCATAAATCATCTGGACCTGATTCAACAGGTAATCGTAAGGCGGGTAATGACATGGTGCGCATCTTGGGAGGAAGTTATGATGCCCAGTGTATCAATCCTCACTGGTATGAGGGCTACTTTTAGGCTGCTGGCTAAAGTCACACGTGCTTCGTTAGACTCCTGAATTTTCAACCTCTCCATATATCCTGCCATTATCCCATCCCCCTTCCCCCTTCCCCCTTTGTTAATGCCAGCCCCCGTCCGTAATCCCACACTTGTATGACAACCACTTTTTTCTGTCATGGGTTTTATTCTGGAGAGGCTTATGGATTTAGACACACTGAACCTCATTCCCCACCCCCTTGTTCCACACGGGCTTGTGTCTGGATTGTGCGCCCCTTTTTTGTCTGGCGCCGTTGTCTGCACTCCCTGTGCGAAAAATTAAAAAGAATACAAGATTTATTTTGACCAATGAAATAGTTGTATGCTTGATCTTCTGATGAATGGGTAACATGGGTGACTGCGGAGCGTGATTGATTTCTTCATCTTCAATAGTTTCACTAGGGATAGATGGTGGGATAAACGGTTTACTGGTATAGAAAATGGACTGTTGAAAGTAAGTACCAAGTAGGTTGGGACGGTAAGTGTATTAGTTGTTATTCTGTTTGTGTTTTTGGGTCTGGAGGTTTGGTTCATCTCGCACATGTGTCTGTTATGTGAATTTTTTTTTGCAAGTCAATTTCATGGAGCCATTTTCCATGGAAGTCATTATTCCCATGAACTATTTTCCATGAGCCCATCCCCATTAGACCCATCTCACCTCACCGCCCGCACATCTCACCTCCTCCATCCCCATCCTCTTTCCCCTCCCAAAACAACTCCCCTTCCGTGTACCCTTGCCCCAGCACCGACCATCTACTCAAATACCACCACCGCCGTCGTCCCAACAAACACTGCATCGTATCAAGTCCCACCCGCCCCCGCTCCCGCCACCGTCTGTCCAAGCTGTTGGGTTGCAGCTTCAGGAGGCGTTATGACAAAAGCTCGACCGGGTCGGCCAGCGGCTGCAACGTATTGGGGTCGGGTGGCCTGGGGCGGAGAATTAGTATGTGTGGAGGGGGGAGTGGAGGGGGATAATAGGGAATTAGCTTAGGTTAGGGGGGGAGGCATGACCGGGTGAGAGGTAGGCGGAAAAAAGGCGGGAAGGGGACTTTCCCCACCTAAAAAACGGGACTTTTTTTTCCAAACCGGAA